GGATGCAGTAATGAATGATGAAATTAAAGGTTGTTTGATGAACCATATGCGATGCGAAGAGCACCACAGTGAACTGGAGTTGGCATTCAACGAAGGATTCGAAAAATTCCGAGCATTCGCAGCAACTACTCATACAAGTTATAATTGGGACTATGTGTCCCCTGATGTTGTGAGAGAGATACTAGACGATGGTGGTGACATGAATGAGCATAAGCACGTCAAAGCTGCTCCGAAGAAGCTGACTGATACGACTAAGTGATTGCGGCTACAGCTGTTCTGTTGGTTGGAGATGATCGTGGGATTGCACAAATTAGAACTATATTCCCTTAATGTCATTATCTAATATAAAATAATACAAATATCAGTTTCATTTGCTTCATATATAATTATTGGGACTATGTCTTGCAAGTCATCATGTGTTCCTTCTGTCTAACATTATATTTTGCAAATATGGAAATATTATTCAATAAGCAGTCAATATCACAGCACGTTGGGAATCAGTAAAGCCCCATTATCATGACACGTGAGTCATAAGTAAAATACCATGTGCTATACATTGTGTAGTGAATGGTTTATGGTTATGTATATATAATAAAATTCCAAATATTGCTGAATATTTATTTTGTCTATATCACTGGGGACATGAGTGACCATAAGCACGTGAGACCTGCTAAGAAGAAGCTGACCAATACGACCTAGTGATTGTGGCTACCGTTGTTCAGTTGATTGGGGAGATCGTGGTATTGCTAAGAGGGAGCACATAAAATGCTTTGCAATCAAATTTTCTTTTGTGTGTGGAATTATGAGTAGTTCAAATGTTGGTGTACCCTTTAATATTATCCAACCATTCGAAATGTGATTAGCTGCAATGTACATTTTTACACGTTGCTTTCTAATCTTTCTGTTCCAACAAAGTGCTTCAAGTACCCTTCAGTTACGAATGTTTGCAAAATCGTGCACCTAATAACCAGTTGAACTCAAATCTTAATCACCAGTAAAACACTAGAACATAATATTCGCACAAAGTGGGTGCTGCTAAAAATGATGCGTGCTGCTGGAAATCATTACTGGTAATGGAAACAACAGCTGGCTGCTGGAAATGCTGCATTAGCCTGTCATATAATCAATGAATCTCTGTTAAAACATAATTCACCATAAACTACCCATTTTACAAGGTAAAAGTCATTGCTTCTTCACATAAATCAAAATTTGATGCTTTATCTAATGTCTATGAAAATTTCTAAATAGGGAGAAGACGTAAAATTAACATGTGTCCAAATTTCATGCAAGAATGAAACCAAGCAAATTTTCATTTCAATTATCAATGGACATAGTAAGAGCTCATCGGTGGACATGAACAAAAAAATAATAATAATAAAACTGCATCTAGAAAACTTCACCTGATCATTAGTCTTCATAATAACCGGGCTTCGTATAATAGAAAC